TTGCATGAAATCGAAATCATCAAAGGATCAGAAGGATTCGGGTTTACCATTGCTGACAGCGCTACGGTACTTCACTTTTTTACGTTAATGTTTGCTTATTTTTATACCGTTCTAGAAAGCCCAGATTNGGGGAAAATAGAGCTTCTAGACAAGTGTTCCTGTTCACCCATTCACAGATCTTTTTTCTTCTATAAATTGCTCTTTTATTCGACATCGATGTCAAGTAGCTCTTCAGAGCAGGTTGGTGAAGCTGGTTTGTCTCATAAGAATATGTTTCGGACCGTCTATTCACCGTTCGCCCAGCCTTTTGTGATTTCAACGTGCTTTACAGTTAAATTTCCTTATGTTTTGTAAAAATTCCTCTAATACTTCCGAACACTCACCAATATCAAGGGAAGGCGTGCAGTCAGAAGGGCTTGAGAGCTTTTAACTTCACCACCATCTGGGGCGATTCCACGTTCACTTCTATTTTATTCAGTATCTTGTCTTCAATGCTATGTTGAAGGCACAGTTTACTATAAGGTTGAGGTGCTCTTTCGACTTTAAAAGAGCGTTTGTTTGTGGAGAATAGCGAAGAATGGAAGAAATCCGCAGAATTCGTGAACTGCAGGGGTTCCTAAAAGTAACGAAGCAGGTGGTTGAATGAGATGGAAATGGAAATGGTATGGACGTGGTATTTGGACGAGATTTCTGTTGTGTGCAATTGCGTAATGAGCTAGCTACAGTAAGCCGAATGTGATACAAACTGCATTCAACTCCGCGTCGTTATTTGGATTTTCAACGTAGTGCTCCATTGTGAATGATGCAGCCTCTGCAGCGTCGTTGAAACACGTTCAATAAGGGTTTGTACGTCGGTGAAGCCGGTCTCTATGCTCTTATGGCGCTATATTTAGTCCGTTTTTCGACACCCAGTATGACATACTTGGAGACCGTAAGCTCGCCCTAATTCGATATCTAGGAACCCATACTTGTCGTGAACTGTACCTTGAACGTAAATGACCAATATCATGTTCCGAGCTGTACATTCCGCAGAGATCATTCCTATCACTCCCTCACCTCATTAATTGGTTCTCATCACATGAGATATCGTGATAAATGCGAATTGTGTTCTACCTCCAAGCCCTTAGTAAGCCAAGATTTGGCCTATTAGCTGCATGACTCGTTTCAGTCTCGAAGCTTGTAGTTTCTAGGAGGAAATCCAATTCGCGGCTTATCCTCAAAGCGTTCGACTGAAACTAACCTCTGGCCTTGTCTTGCCTCTTTTTTCCTCTTGCAAATTATTGTGAAATTTTTTCGCAGTGAGGCTAATATTTGTCTTGTCTTGTCTGCTAATCAAATCTTTCAATACTTGCCCTTCAGATCACGAACACCGGCCGCTGAATTCCGTTACGGCGAACAAGGACGAGCCAATACACAGCCGACGGTTTCACCACGATCGAAGACTCCTGCTCCTTTGACCCATCGACAAGAGTCAGATCCCAACATGCCAACGACCCGAGCTCAAACTTTGCAAAGGGTGAGCTTCTTAATTACCTCTGCTGTTGCCTGATCTCTGAGCGCGTATGTTTCAGCAGCCCAATGTGACCCCATCCTCGGATGTTTGGGATGGCCCAAGTGCGGTTAGTTCACGAATGCGACCATCATCAACAACTCTCGGCTTCGCTACACCCAACTATATGCCGATCAGTGCGTTCCAGTTCAATAAGTGAGTAATACAAATAAGTTCTGCGAGTTTTCCTAGGTATACGAAAAAAGACTCTCCAAAGGAGCATTTCGTAGCTGTGTTGTTGAGAAGCTTGTGCTTTCTTTTCTGACTGCCTACCTGTGAGAAAACAACTCAGGTGCCCTTTTTCCGAGAAATAACTGTGCATTACTACCTTGTGCCTTGAAATGTTTGCTGCTAACCTCTGTGGTGAAGTTCTGGGTGACAGTTATTGAAGTGGTCTGTGAGCGTCCAAAGTTCTTTTCGTGCCTCCTCACTTCAGTGCTACTTCTACAAATAAAAGTTCATCTGCTAAGTTGATCAATTGAAATAGCAAGACAAATTCGATTTTCGAGATACCGAAAATTTACTGCCTTCTTAGGATCGGTCTACTTCAAACTTTCGAATTTCAGGCCCAGCGATTTGATAACAGTTAATCTGATTCGGAAACCAAACGGATTCGGATTTCGTTTGCTCGGTGGAAGCGAGGTTGGTGTTCCAGTATAATGCATATTTTCTCACTTTTATCCAATTTTTATCATCTGATTCGAATCTTCTGGGGTCTTTTACGGAGGCCGTGATGCTAGCACTAAAATCAAAGCGCTTGATGGTTTAGACAAGCACACAGTTGACGGTTGGTCAAGTGGTGCCAGGAGGAGCGGCTGCCGATGACGGCCGAATGCAAGAAGGCGATGAGATCATCGAGATAGACGGACGTAATGTTGAAGGTGTCAGTCATGTGGAAGCTGTGTCACTTTTGGAGCAAGCTGCTCACAGCAGACATGTGAAGCTCGTCGTAAGGCGGCCACGAAGCGGTTCGTTCCCTTATTTTCTCGATNNAAAAAAAAGTATTGTTGATTAGTCTATTAGAGCAGCCCCAATACTTGAGGTCCACCAAGAATTGTATTGTCTACAAGGTTGGAAATCTGAAGGTAGCATTCTGAGACGTTATAAAGTTACCAAGGCAGTTATTCCTTCTGTATCCTCTTTCTTCTGCAGTTAATTATAGACAGTAGTATCCTTTTGATGCTACCTCTGTACCTATCAGTTATAGAACTGATACCTCTGATATTGGCATGAGTGAATTCAACGAGTTTCCGCCATTCAAATGTCGGACGAATCGGAATTTGCCATTAACTTTATGGTTTCAGTTATTTTATGGTTTACTTTACATTAATGAGCGGTAAATAGAAAATCTGTACGGATACGTACAGTGAGTGAGCAAGAGAAGGCATGGCCAATGTTTCACAGTGACTAAAGACCACCCGTCTTTGTGGTTGCGAAATGCATCAGACAAAGTTCCGCTTCTTACGCAATCCTAAGCCATTCAATTTATTGCTGCTTGCCTTTTTTGCTGAAAAGTTGCTTGCGTCATAGACTTGGCCCCATAATTCAATATGAAGACTGAATACATTGAACTTCGTCGTTAGAATTGCAAGAGGTTAAGTCTGATGTACATATCATCGTGGATGGCAATGGTCTTCCACGTAGAATGAATCGACAGAAAATAATTATTTTGATGGGACTCGCTCTTAGAACATTTGAACATCCTTTTAAAGATTAATTGCAGAAGCGTTACGTCGTCAGTCTGTGCACGCCGAACGACCATTGTCGGGTATGCCTACGGTGAACTCGGGAGAGTACGATGTCACTTTGACTCGGAACGAAACCGATGGTTTTGGTTTCATCATAATTTCGTCTTTGAACAGAAATGGATCCACCATTGGTACGTTTCGGTCTCATAGTCTGATAAGCAATCCCCGCTACGAGGATACTCTGACTTTTACTGTTCTTTCACTTTATAAAAACATTTATTCCCTGCTTTCCATCAGGATACAAATCGAAGGGTTAAGGGGTGACTAAGTAAACGTTCTTACGCTCACATCTATTTGTGTTGAAACTTTCTCCTTTCACGATAACCAAACCTGGCTACAAGTGTAATTTCTTTCATTCCTATCTTAGCACTTATAACTCGGCTTCATTGAATCCCTTCTCGCACGGGAAAATGGTGATAGTCCATTCCAGCTCGCAGCTCATAGGCGGATGTCTGACCGCACGCCATTTGGAGGTAAAACCCGCCTCTCGTTACCCAGACGTATAGCAGCTCGCCATTGTATTATGCCGGATTCATGACCTCTTTTTCATCTGATTTTCCGACCACCGTACTCCACTCACCACCAAAGCTCGAAGATTGCCCCTCAGCGTTTGCTTTACACTCCTCGTATGGTACGACGTCCATGCTCTACTATAAGAAATCACACTCCGTGCATGATCCGACGTTCGCATTCTACTACTAAAAGGCTTCTCTATTTCCTATTCGGGAGTAAATCGGTTTTAGAAAATTTAACACTCTGCGAGACAGCTCAGGGGAAGTGTTTCCATGAGTAAAATATCACAAAACAGGAATGAGCGATATTGGATCGAAGTATGCGGGGATGACCAGCCAGTTGTTCTAGTATGGTTCTCAATGCTGTTATCTTGCAAAAAGACCACTTCTTACAAAGCTCGAGGTCTCAGCTTTATCTATTATCCGTTCAGGTCAAATACTTGAAAATTCACCGGCGGAGAAATGTGGACGTTTGAAGGTCGGTGACCGAGTGGTAGCAGTAAATGGTATCGACATTCTGAATCTGACGCACGGAGAGATCGTTGGTCTCATAAAGGTGAGATTTTGCTCGGATTTTTCCACTGATTCACAGGCTGCACTTTTGGCGGCTGCAGATAGGAATGATTCGTCTTCAGCGATCAAGCGGTATTGGTAAGAATTTATTGAGATATAAAACAAGTGGAAAGGGTATCATCTGATTTTTTTTAACGAATTTCTTTCATCTATCCTTCCTAGTGGGTCATCTGTCCTGAATGCTTCTATTATTTTCATTATAAAACCATATATTGACCTGCAAAGGTTTTTCTTACCTCTCTGATATCCGCCCGTGTTTTTGCATGGCGAAGGTTTCCTGAACTCGCCGTTCAATTGGTCCTTCTACAAGCTGTGTCATGTTTTCGTTATATATTTTGGAGCAAACTAAGAATCTGCGTTTTTTCGTGATAGTTTTTTATTCCTTTTTAGGCGTCTGGGCTTACAGTACGTCTTACCATCGCTCCACCGATGCAGGATGGTGGTCCATTGGCGTCCAGCACATTGAATCGTTCGGTCCTTCCCAATTCATACATCTCGTCACCGCCTGCAACCTTCGTTCCCCCTCCGCCGACGTTCCAAAATGGTGGTTACTATGCCACGCTTGGACGGGTGAGTTGTAATACCTCTTACTTTAGTGTTTACGCGTATTACTCAACTCATTGTTGAAGTACGGGAAGGAGTCTAGTAATCATTTTGAAAATGTACATCCCTTATGAGATGGTTTTCAAATCATGTGGTGGAGGGGTAGATATTTTCTTAAGGAAACGATTCTAAGAGCTTCTAGCAATATATGATCAATTGTGTTGTACTGAAATACCAATTTAATACTTATTTAGAACGCGAATTATTCATCGTTCCCTCCTCCGGTCATGACGACATCGATGCCATTCTCCTACACAAATGGTTCAACGATAAGAACTTCATCAAACTACACCTCTTATCCGGAAACGAGTCGTCCTATCTACACAACGTCACACCTGAACGGACAACTCAATGGAATGAGCTTACACAATCCTGTTCCTCCCGAGCAAGTGAGTGCCTTCACTTTTGAATTCTGAAAGTTTGTAAGTGTTCCTGAGCGTACGTATGAGAGATTTCCAGCGCTTTTGTAAATTCCTAAGTATTCACCTAATGTTCTAAATACTGTGTGTGAACAAGATTTTCTACTCGCTGATCTGCAGCACTGACTGGAAAAGATTTGAGTGGTGCTCTAACACTTCGCTAAGCTTTTCAACTTACGCTCATACTACAGCCGAACTTTAATTTCTCAAAATCTGTTGTAGTTTATGTTCCTCTGCTGTTTCCTGTCGCTACTTTTTCATATATTTCGCACTGAAATGTTTGACCCCTTTCAATTCTTTTCATCAAAAATGTAGGACAGCCCACGAAAAGACAACTTCTATCATTACTGGATCCAGATTCAGTAAAACCGTTCACCCAGTCTTCCATGACTGCCGTTCAAATGTGATCGATTGAAACGGTGTTTTGACGGCAGCAGAAAACTGTTTTTATTGACTATTTTGTACAGCAGCCAAGTTGTGAAAGTCTTCTTACGGCACTACAAGAATCGGGAGTCTTTGAAACGTACACGGAATCTGCTGATCTGGAAGCAATTGAATCGTTAACACCTTCTGGATCGCCTCCACCGACATCATCTTCGTCACGCCGGTGAGCTTAAGGCATCGCCGATCGCCTTCGTTCATGCTCGGCTCGTTACCATCCACTACCGCCGGTGTTCCCTTTGCTTCTTGTCAAACCTCGTACTGGTCCTGTTTGGCTACACTGATACAGCACACCCTAATCACAATCCGCCCTAAATCTCGACTCGTTTCTGAAAAATATTTCGGAATCGGAATGAGTTGAAGTCATCTAAATAACCTCAGTAGGGTATGTCAAAAGGCTTCTGAATGCATTTTCTTTTATCCTTAATGTGCTTATCCAGTATAGCAGATCATACCAACGTCTGGGACGCATCGTACGCTGCTGTTTTGGAAAGGAAACGTAAATTCTAGGGTTAATCGTCGAAGAAAATTATTTGAGTGATAAGTTTCAAGGTTAAGCTGGGTCATTTTTGTAGACAAAATTCAGTATCAAACATCAGCGTCGAATCGAGCACCCAGAGCTTGGTATATTCTTGCTCTTATTCATGTGTTCTGTTTACTCTTGCTAACAGTCGTTTTGTTATTGATAATAACTGTAGAAGAGAATGATGGGAATTTTTTCATGTCATTGAATGCCTTCGCCTTGCACCTCTAATAACTATCCCTCTTCTTCTCTTTCATACTAATCGGCTAAGATTACTACGATTTCAGCCTCAATTGGAAAAGTGCTGATGGATTAGTTAAACGATAATTTTCGAACTTCAGTACAAAATCAGATAAATTCAATAGCGAAGTATTCAGCAAGGGCAGGGTTCTGAATTCTGATGAATTTTGAACGGAAATGGCGGTCAACTGTAGCATTTAGAATATTGTTCAACGAAAATGAAAATTGAAACCGAGCTTCTCCCAAACAAGCTATGAGCTTTGAAGCCGGTTTGACTTGAAATGCGGAGTTCACCGGCAAGTACTCAGCGCTACTGTAGTACTAGCATCCTCGTTTCAAGCTGGGGATTCCGTTACGAAGCTTTTTGTGTAGTGCGCTTCTAATGCGCTTCCTTTCTGGTGGGAACCTTTATCACATCTTAAGTCATTGAAATGTATGGGCGGAGATTCTTCATCCCGAGTTGACAACGCCAAGCAAGTCTTCCAGACTTCCGAGGTAACAAACTCTGAGTTGTACATAGGCGCCCACCCCAACTCGCTGTAAATTCTGTATGCTCACTCGAACCCTACTATGATTCTGAATGGAAGTTGAATGCGGAGTACATCTCAGATGTGAGCTGATTAACGCCGAAAGACCTAATTCTCCATCCTTCTATTCAAATAAGTACCTTGGTTCAGATATCATCTACGGTTGTCGCACATATTGAAGGCGGATTAGTCTGACACTTTAGACACTCACACTCGTTGTAAACATCGAGAAATACCTATAAGGCCTCTGAAAATATACCTGTCATGCTCAAAACCTCCATTTCAATCATACTTCGGCATCAAAAATTCCTATATACTTTGATCTCAGTTTCATGGTAAGTGAACAGGACGTCCGTAAGGTCATTCATTCACTTCTGAAATCGGAACGATTTGCCCATCTCAGATTCCGTTCTCCTAATCATGATACTCAGGCCCTAATGACTTCTTATTTCTCGTGAATACAACTAGATTGTCTTCAATACAACGTGTTTCATTGCTCCTCAACATCACGTAGCAGTTCATACTCTGCCTAGCCATAAGTATAAGACGGTCCGCCTTCAAGGCCAGATCTGAATGCAAACATTCCTCTATGTTATCGTTGTGAGGTTCTTTGGGGCTGTACGACTTTTGAAATATTTTATTAGCACGATTACTTTTGGCTTTAAATGCATGAGAGGTCTTTCTTCTATTTTTGGTTTCTTTCTCTGAAATAACAGATTGTCCCTGCATGTAGCAAAACCATACGAGATAAATGTTTTTCATGATAACATCTTCACTAACATTTCCTCCAAAAAAGTACTACCGTACGATCAAAAAATTCATGCAGGACAGTCCGATAATCTCGGTGGAATTGGAACGTGGTGCTCGCGGATTTGGCTTCTCGATTCGTGGTGGACAGGAATTTGGTGCCATGCCGTTGTTTGTACTGCGAATCGCCGAAGACGGTCCAGCAGCGATCGATGGCCGATTGAAGGTAGGTGCTTTCCTCACTACAATACTTACATACTTCCATTATGTGCTGACTATCACGCTTCTGGTTGTAAAGGGCGTTTGTATGAGTTCCAAATAATTATTCTTCGGGATTGAACCACGGTGATAACCTTACTTCGCGTAACGGACCATCCTGGAAGCGATGCGAAAGTGAACTTTTGTTCTGAGAGAGTTGAGGCTTTTGATAAACTACTGAATGGCTCGTAAACTTCTTTATAGTAACGTCTTGTTCAACTCATCGTCTTAGTAAGGTTGGTGTGGGAAATTGAATTATCCTTCTCGCGCATACTGACCAATTTCGTTCATAGACTTTCTTACATTACTATCTCCCGAAACCATCGATTGAATTCTTCCCTCGAACCCTACTGAGCTGAGTAGCCCAACAAAAAAGCGGTTTCGATGTAGTATCTCTTCTGTCACTATGTGTTGTTTCCTTCTCCGCCCAATCTAAGCGACTGAAAGCATGACGGAAATCGCTGAAAATTGGCGCCTCTAGTACTTTCTCGGCCTTTGTTGATACTAGGGCTACTTCCATTTCTTTTTTAGTTTTGTTAGAGCGACATGTGTCTCGTTGAGAAACGTCGACCGTAAAATGGCGGCGAAGTAGCTCTAAAGTGACCGTGTGATAACCAAATAATTGGTCGTATACCCTTCTCTCAACGAAACTCCTGTGGAGTCTCTGCCCCCTGTGCAGATACTGTAAGCGGTAATGCTGACATATTTCAGGTCGGAGATCAATTAATTTCAATAAACGGTCGTGATACAAAAGGTCTTACACATGAGGAAGCCATACAACTTATCAAGCAACACCCAAGTGTTCGTCTCACCGTTCGTCGCCATAAACTTCCCTAACTTTGCCTTTCTTGTTCCTTGGTTTCAAGAACTTTGTAGATTTCTGAGTTTACCATTGTAATTTCGCCTAATCATATCTTTAACATCAGTGCGCGTTCAGTATGCTTAAAATGCGCAAAAGGGGTCAGGTCGGAAGCGCTGAAGCCTAAAACAAGCGCTTCTTGGCCTCGGCGAAAAAACGCTGATTTTTTTACACTTAATTATCCCTTGCTTTAATTCAGCTTGAATCTTAGCCTTATGTCAATAGGTAGATTTCAGTTAGTCGTTTCCCATTAGCTCCTTCATTAATATCAACGTGCTACTTGCTCTAATTTGCCCTATAAGTACGTAACGCACACACTCAACGTTGGTCTCAGTTGTCATTATTGATGGCGTTATCGTCCAATCTATTTGTTGTTATTGATTTATCAGTGTTTGTTTTATGTCTTCCGATTTTGCAATGACCAGTGATTATGTTCTGCTCGCATTTATCGTTGTACTTATAACAGATCCTCTGAATATCACTTGTACATGCGAGAGTTCTGATAAAGTTCGCTATATCATATTTGATCGGAACTTTCTTCCGTATTCGGTCACCATTAACGCTCATTCACTCAACCACAGTGACACTATACCGAAAGCCTCCGTCACAGAAACTGAGAAGTGCTTGAGGTCAGCAAATGAAGGGTGTTTTAAGAGAGAGGCTTTCTCAGCAATCATGACCGCTACAGAACGGAAGAGAGACCTTCTGTCAAGAGCTGTGTGGACGCGTATGACTTCCCCTACTGAAAATATGGGAGAAAGAGTAAGCACTTTTCTGAGTCTTCTTCGCTTTGCACACTTCCCGTTGTAGACAGTATTCACCTCGTCCACTATATGCAGGACAGATCGATCAATTCCTAAGTTCATCGAAACCGCACGAAGAGAAGTCGTGGCCGCTTTGATCTTCAAGATATCACAAGACAGACAAAGTAGGCAAAGTAAGGCAAATTGTTGGACAGCTGTGATGGATAGGATTTGAATGACATTTAGTAACGGATCTACCTTTGTAGCACAAACGTAGCTGCTCAACGAGATTTTGTGCCCGAGAACTCGGGAATGTATCACAGGCTATGGGAACGTGATCGTTGCTCCGTCAGTGAGTGCCGCTCCTCATTCTCGGTTTATAAGGAGGTGCCCGTTCGAATTTGATCTTGAGTAAGCATGGAAGCCGTAAAATCGAGAATAGTAACTCGGACGAGAGTGGTGCTTTTTTAGTGCCGCATCTTTACTATAACAAACTTGGAAAGGAATTACTTGGAAGTGTTTGGTACATTTCTCTGCTTTCCCTTAGAGCGCATCCATGATATGATTCATTTTACTGAGGTTGTCGATATTGCTTACGTGGATACCGTGTTCGAGTGTTTCTCAAAAAACTTCTCGCTTCCGGATCTCAAGTAAATAGGGGACCCATGATTGGAGTTAGTTTCATTTCACTAAATACTTGTGAAAAAGAAGTGGCGGATTCCGTCTCTTTCTGAATTATGACCAGTTTTGCATGTGCCCTTCGTTTTCCGTGTAAAGGCTTTGGCGCCGTTTCAATGTTGTTTTCCACATTTTTTGTGAAACTTTCGATGTTGTTGAAGCATATACATCCAAGCTAACGGCTACGTTGGTGTGTTTCTCCAACGCGACTTCTACTTTATTCATCTCTAGCTCAACTACTGTTTTTGCATGGCTGATCCTCCTCTTGAGTGCCTGCTGATCTCCTGCTTTTGGTCCGATTTCTGGCCCTAACTCAGTTGCAGAGATCTAATACGTTGTTCAAAAAATCAGATAGTCGATTTTCTGCTTCCTGAGGAATTCCTGGCGGTTAGATAACAGTGGAGGCATTGCAAACCTATGTCTCGTGCCTGAGCTTTGTCCCAGCTGAACACGGTCCTTCTCCTTGATTTCTCTCTGATTTATTTATTACAGAGATGGGTTTATATATACCGATTAATAGCAACGTTCTCGTCGTTACTTTATCATTCTCCGCAACAAGCTTTGGTAATCTTGCTCATAGAGAGTAGGCCATATAGGTGAGGAACCGTAGCGGTCGGTGGCGCTTAGCCTAGGCTTGTGCGCGAAGCGAAGCAGATAGAGTCTAGGCAAGATTCTAAATGCAGTTGTTCACTTATATTTATCCATTTATTTATTATGCACTCAAGGTGCGCCATCAAAGAAACATTATGAGAAAATATTACAGAGAAAACCTTACGTCACATCATATGATTATTCATCAGAAAAGACCACATTGTTTTTATGCGTAGTTGCATGCTAATCCTTCAAAAAAGGAGATCGTTAGCAGTTATACTCGCTGAGTTTGATAATCGCCTCAAGTTAACCTCGCCGTTTCAACTAATTATGCCTCCTGGATTGTTTTATTTCTGAAGTCTTCTCTATTGGTGATTACCTCAGCTCATCTATTGTCTTCTTCCTCCAAGGTACTGCGATCGAGGGAAGTCACATTTACGTTTTCTGCATCATTATTCTCTGTGCGATATGTCGCGCTACGGTCTCCTTGCTCTCATCATTCAAGTTTCATAGCTTCAAAGAAGTGGCGGTTTCGCTCAGCACGATATTCATTTCAACGGCAAACAGTGCAGGTGCCCATCAAGCACATCTCGTAGCAGGCCATCAAGCACAACTGGTATGCTGGTCGACTTTTAAGCCGCATGTGCATGTCTATATTTTGACTGATGAAGATCCGAGAGAAAGCAATTGTTTTCAAATAGATGCCTCAACATTCTAACGACCCTCAAAATTACATGTTTTGACATGTTTTGACTTGATGTTTTAGAAGTTAAAACAAGTACTAACAAGACAGCTTTCAGCTTAACGGTTCAATACGGATATTAATTGGCTGGCTCAGCATGTTGCAAGTGTGAGTTCATTAAGCTAGAGCACAAAAGCCACAAAATCCAGCTAGCAGGATCTCGGTTGTGTAGGAGATAAAGAGCTGAGCAAAGAGCGAAGTGGCAAGTGATGGAATATCTGCTGCCCATCGACGAGTGGAACACGAGATGAAAGTCGAGGTGGAAACGCAAGTGCTAAAACGAGTGGGTGCGACGAAAAATAGCAACCATCCCCTAATTAAGCACTGCATATTCTGAGCTGTAATGTGCACATAGACATATGAGTAAATTAAGAACCGCCAAAAGAAGAGTGAACAGAATTGGGTACCACAAGTACAGCAATAAGTGGCAAATCGCATTCATTCAAGCAGGCTCCCGATAGGTGATTGGCTTTTCTGTTTGCTGTCGTCTTGAGGTAAGCTTGATTTCTGAATAATGGCCACTGCCACGCGTACTAAAGGAAATAGCCTTGCTTGTGGCCCATCATCCACTAAGTATTTGCAGTCATTGAATACTTCCTCAGACAGGTTGGTACCACTCCTGAGTTTGCTCAAATGACGTCAGCTGAGTTGTTGAAAGCTATTACAGCACGTAACACTGACCCAGTCATAAATGAAATGCTTTGTGCCCTTGCCGATAAAATGCCTAGGAGATTTTCTGAGTTAGTCGAATCGGAGAAGCGATAGCGTAGTACCGTCTTTGCTGGTCTCAGTGAAGCTGAGGATGACCTTCTGCCTTCTGAACGCCAAGCTGATTTGGAGGTTAAGGTTGGGAAGGTACTCGATGTACTCCAAGTGGAGTGTCGAGCCACTGAAATTTACAGGAATGGTAAATCAGTGCCTGGCCGCCCTCGACAGAGTTGTGCTCCCTTCTCGTTTTGGTTGGCAACAAGCATTGAAGAACGCACGTCTTGTAAGGAATTCTGAGTTCAAAAGTGTATTTGATCGCAAAAGTATGACGGCTGAAGAAAGGAAAACTGATTTCAGTTAGGACAGTTTGCTAGAGAAAGAAAAAGAAGAAAGGAGTTCGTGAGTGGGTCGTTTACTGTGGCCAGCTCAAAAATGTTTCAGAACTATCAAGATGGAATTCGGGAAACATGTGAGCTTGCACGGTATATCGCAGCATCTTTCTGGTTTTTTGTTTCATTCCCGTAGCTTAAAAGAGTCAAAAGTTCTGAAATCCTTTGTGATTCGCCTTATGATGTTTTTCGTATAGACCGGACTGGAAGGAGAGGTGGTGAAGTTGTTGTCTTATCAGAAATTATCTTCATTCCCGTGTTATATCACACGAAACATCCTTCAAACCTGACGCACTATGGTTCGATTTATTATTGTGTACTGTGTTTCGTATGTCTTGAGTTCTATGCAGTTGTTCGAATTCTTTTGTGCCTGTGGCTCGCAGCAAGTTGTGACTCAGCCAACCCTTGGTGGTCTTATACTTGACATTATCCTGACAAGCTCACCAGCAGTTTTTATGTCAGGACGCTTCCTCCCTTCGCTAGTTCTGATCACTGTGTTTTGAAATTCTTCATGAACGTACGGCACTCTACCCCCATTTCATTACCCTTGCCAGGCTATTGTAATGTTGATTTTGATAAGCTCAATGATACCCTCAATGGCATTGACTGGCTAAAAGCTTTTGATGGATATGTATCAGTTTCTAAACTTTATCGCAAATTTTGTTATATTGTCTACGAAAGCTTGTACAACATATTCCATTCGGTGAACCACGAGGTAATCATTTTCGTTATTCCGCCCGAAACCTATTTGATCTGAAGCAGAGAATATTCCATAAGTCTTCTACACCGCTGAGCTGCCTTGAGACAAGAAGATTTGGGCCGATATTGATCAAGACTTCAAAAAATTTTGTACGAACCGTGAGCCACGACTGGATATGAAAGCCTCTATGAAAAAACTTTATGCGTTCATTCATTGTAAATCGAAAAGTAGGACTAATTTACAGCTCTTTCTGATATGGTGTTTGGTGCTTTTCTGAAGCTGATGAAGCTAAGGCTCTTGGTTATTCTTTTGCTAGTGTCTTTAATTGTGATTGTAATATGAATGCCTCTTCATACAACTCTGTGCTACTTGCATCTGCCTGATGTGGCTTGGACAATATCTACTTCAATCCTTTTGAAATTTCCAA